AAAAAAAAAAAAAAAAAAAAAAAAAAAAAATAAAAAAAAAAAAATAAAATAAAAACGTCTTCCTTTTTGAACATATCTCATCACATTGGAGAAGAGGAAAAAACACAAGTCAAAATATCTCTAAAATATTTCAACAAGTCAAATTATTAGCACTTTCCACAGAGACTTACGATAGCTTTCACTTTTTTCTGAAACAAAAATTATGAAGAACGCTTAGCAAAATCCACTCTGGAAAGCAGAAATTCTCCTCATGATCCAGCTTAACCACAATAGGCTGCTTATTTACTCAGCGCCGTCTCCTGTGGGCTAACCAGCTATTTGTCTCCCAAGGGCAGGCCTATGGAGGAATGCTTGGCCTCAGGACGCAAATGGAATCCAGCAGCCTGCCAGGAAGACCTTGGCACATAAAGTTCAGACGGCAGCTCTCCTGGGCGTCCCGCCACTCAGCAGTGGGGACCAGCAGATCCTCTGGGCCCGACCTAGTCACCAATTCAATGTCCAGCCTCCATGCAGGCAGTCAGTTCAGCAAACACTGACTGAATCCCCAAGCTTGGTAGCAAGAAAGAAAACTCAGTAGATATGGCCTAAACGACATCAATTCCTCTAGTCTGGTGTTTATGAAAGGAGGTGAGTAACCAATCAATATTCATATAAAATACTGAGCACCTACTGTGAGCACCTAGCCAGGCCAGGGGAGGCTCTGGGCCCTAGGGACATCAGAGCCCAGTCCCAGGCTCAAGGCCTCCAGGCCCTCGTAGTCTGGTGTCTACTTCTCTTTTCTTACTCAAGAATGCCCGGCTTTGTGTACTTACCACCGTTTCCCAAACCAGCACCGGGGCTGACGCCATGCAGGTCATCGGGTAACTTGGGAACAAGGCCACTAAAAGAGAACATGTGCATAAGAGATGAGTTAGTGTTTGAACAACAGGACTGTTAAGACTGCCTAGGCTGCACATGACAAGCATCAGGCCCCGGCCAACCAGGCACCTATAGCTGAGCTACCTGGAAGGCATGCAGTGCAGGCAGAGGTTAAGAGCTCAGGCTCTGGGGCTGAGTTCTGGCTCTCACACTTAATAGCCGAGTAACCTCCAGTAATGTCGGTCGTTTACTCATTCATTCATTCACTCACACCAGTGTTCTGTGTGCCACATACGTGGTAGGTGCAGAGGCACCAGGTCAAATCTAAGATACTTAAGTTCCTGAGTCTCACTTTCTTAATCTGTTACATGGGGATACCACCCTCTAGCTGCAAAGATCAAATGAGTTAATGTACATAAACACCTAGCACACAGTAAACACTCAATAAGCGACATCTATTGTTTTTGTCATTGCTATTATTAATATGCCTATCACGACTAAAAACTACGCTTCCCAGAATCAGGTACTAATCCAGATGCTTTAAGAATGTCAAACAAAAAATGCAAAATTCACTGATCCAAGAAGTATTACTAAGAGGATTATAAAAATGGGTTCAGTTCAGTGGAGAACTGGTGACACTGACAGAAAGCTACACCATAAAAGGGGGTGTGGCTTAACACAGAAGACACTTTCCTGGATTCTGTTCTGAGCTCCGCCACATACCTCTTTGCTTCCTTCATCTGTGAAAGGAGAAGAGTGGCTGCTTCACAGAGTAACTGACAATTCAACAAGACACAAAGTGCCCAGCAAGGTACCTGGCATATGGTGAGTACCCCATAAATGGGAGCCAACTAGCACTGTCACCTTGAAACATACAGTGCTTGATACCTTGTAATTCACCATCGTGAGCACTCCCCAGTTCCCTGAGCGTCCACGCATTTTTCAAAGGAAGGCACTAAGACCCATGTCATTTCAGTGGCCTGGCCAGTCTTGTGACTGTTGGGAGGGAAACCAAGTCCAGAATCCAATCCCAATGATACTTCCCTGTCCCAAGCTGTAAACTAGGAGTCGATGGAGGCTTGGCTTGGCTTCTTGGCAGTTTGCTCTTTCCGTACCTCTCAATCTAAATCCATTCTGTTCCTAAGACAATTCTGCTCGATCGCCAAACTTGGAAGTTGGAATGCACCTCCAAAATGAGGGCCAAGCAAAAAATTGACTTTCGTTAAATTCCAACATCAAGAGAATGGTTACATAAAATGTGTCCGCTATAAAGATAACTGAATAAAACTTAAGTAGAGTATGTCCTCAATTATGAAAAAAAAAAAAAACATATGTGCTAAAGTCACCTCAAATGCTTCTTGGAAATTAGGCGGGCTATATATATAATGGGACAAAGGAAATATTCAAAATCATTTATAGGGAAACGAGAGATATTTTCCTTCTTTCTGATTTTGTGTAATTCTCAATTTCCTCCAATAAGCATCACTAGAAAGGACAAATTCCATTTTCTAAACTGAATTTTAAAAATTAAAATCAAGTTCAACTACCACCTTTTGTAGATGGTGGTCCAGAGGCCAAGGGCACACACCAGGTTTTTGGTTGAGCTCAGGCGACAGTCTAGTCTCTGCATGCCCAACCTGGGGGTTCTCCCCACCATGGCCACCGAATTACTCCCACTGGTGAAATGGCTCATCAATTATTCAAGCCGAGATCAATCACGGATGAAAACCACCTGGTAAGCGAAGCCAAAGAATTTGGTCTGAGACAAGTTTCCAACAGGCAAACGTTAAAGTTTGACAAATGGCATCTGACATCCCAACTCTCAGAAGAAACCACTATGTAATGCAGAAATTCCTCTCTGGTTCCTCCCAAATTTCCACTTGGACTTTACCGCTTTTCAAATGTTATGAATCTGTCATCCGCACATTCCAGTCAGTTCCAGCCACCCCTCCAGCTCTAAGTAGCCCCCTCTTCCCATTCTGATCACTCATTTTTAGCCTGAGAACTAAGGTTGGGGCTTCATGGGGCCCCACAAGAAATCAAAGCTATGCAAGCGAAGGAGGAGGACTTAGATGCGGTTTTCACATGGTACAGATGGGGGAAACTAAGGCCCAGAAAGGGAAAGGAACGGACTTGCTCAAAATCACAAAGCGTCAGTGGCAAAGCTGAGACCAAAATCCAGCAAAATCCAGCATAATCATAATAAACCTACCCTGTGGGGCACCCATGCTGAGTGGGCACTGGGGGGAAGGGGGATTAATGGTAATGTGTCTTTTACTATAATAATTTTTTTTATGTATGTAAACATTCACCGGATTTTTTTTATCGTACCTCATATTTACATATAAAGACATAGTTTTATTTTGTGGCTTAAGAATAAATAAATGCAGCCAAACTGTATAAATTATTCTGTAGCATCTTTTCTTCACTTACTGTGTCCTACGGATGTTTTCCTGACAGTACAAATATATCTACCTCAATATTTCTACCGCATTATTTTTCAAACTTGATTACTGTCCACGACCCATAGAAGGAAATATATTACCTTAAAATCTTGAAATGTTTTCTATTCTGTTCTACTCCATTTTTTTAAATTCTGGATGCAACCTACTAAATTGAATTTCATGAGTTGCCAGTTGGGTCACAGTCTAAAAGACACTTTTGAAAGGATCTGTATTTACCCAATCCCCGGATGTAATTCAATTTGTTTCCAAGTTCTTCCTTTTACAAACAATGCTCTACACATATCCTCATATGGGTCTCGTGCACATGCATGAGGACTTCTTGAGGATAAATAGGAAGGATAAATAAATAATTGCTGGATCAAAACATATCCACATTTTGTTAATGGGCAAAGGATTTGAAAATATACAAATAGCAAATAAGCACATGGAAAAATACTCAGCATCACTAAGTCATTAGGGAAATGCAAATCAATACCACACTGAGATACCATGTGGCACCTCCAAGGATGGCTATAACCAAAATGACAGACAATGACAAGTGTTGGTGAGGCTATGGAGAAATAAGAACCCTCACACACTGTTGATGAGAGTATAAAATGATGCAGCTACTTTGGCAAAGAGTTTGGACAGTTTCCTCAAAATGTTAAATACGTGTGACCCAGCAATTATGACCCATAAATATATGACCCAGCAATTCCACTCACAGGTATATACCCAAAGAGAAATGAAAACATATGTCTCTATAAGAACTTGTATAAAAATAAATGTTCATAGCAACAATACTCATAATAGCCAAAAAAGTAACCACCACCCAAATGTCATCAGCCAATGAATGAACAAAATGTGGTACATGTACAAAATGGAACGTTATTCAGCCATAAAAAGGAAGTAAGTACTGACTCATGCTACCACATGGATGAACCTCACAAAACATAACATATTGTAAGATCCCATTTATATGAAATGTCCAGAATATGCAATTCTATAGACAAAAAGAGATTATGGTTGCCTAGGACTGAGGTAAGGGGAGTGTTATGGACTGAGTGTTTGTGTCCCCCCAAAATTCATGTTGAAACCCTCCCCTCCCCATGTGATGGTATTAGGAGGCGGGGCTTTGGGGAGGTAATTAGGGTTAGATGAGGTTGTGAGGTGGGGCCCTCAGGAGTGAGATTAGTGCTCTTATGAGAGCTGAGAGAGCGCTTCCTCTCTACTCTCTTCCACATGAGGATACAATGAGAAGTCAGCAGTCTGCCGCCCAGTAAGCATCTCACTAACCCAACCATGCCAGCACCCTGACCTTGAACTTCCAGCCTCTAAAATGGTGAGAAATAAATTTCTGTTGTCTATAAGTCACCCAGTCTGTGGTACCCAGCTGGCTGAGACAGGGAGAGACTGCTAATGGGCACATTTTTTTGGATGATGAAAATGTTCTAAAATTAGATTACGGCGATGGTTATACAACTTTGTAAATATACTAAAAAATCACTAAACAGTATATTTTAAATGGGTGAACTTCATGGCATAGAAGTTATATTTCAATAAAATTGTTTAAAAACAAACACACACACACACACACACACACACATTAACAGATAATGGCAAATTGTGTTCCAGAAAGACTGTGCCAGTGGAGATGCTCTGAGTGCACTTTTTCAGTGATTACAAAGCAGCATTTCACTACTAAATATGGAGGCCATGTTTACATGGTATTTATCTTTTCAGAGAATGAACAAAATCGATTCATTCAGCAAACATTGTTGAGCCTCCACTATGTGCCAGACACAGTCTCAGGTCTAAAGATACAGTGGGTAACAAGCCAGTCATGCTCCCTGCCCTCACTGAGCTTACACTGGTTATGAGGGGTGCTCTCCTCAAACCTCAAGTTGAGGGGTACCCCTGATCCAAGGTCAGCCTTGGATCAAGCTTTCAAACCTTCACCAGAAATTTTATCCCATCATCCTCTTCCTCAGCCTCCTTCTACAAAATTTCATAAAGGCACTCTTGGCCTGAGAAAGTACAAACTATATACGAACTTTCAGGAAAGTACAAACTGATAGGGAAACACTTCTGTTTTGGTCAACTCTTAATAGCCATGTAATGGAGGAACCTATGGATGACGAAGCTGGGCCCAGGTCTTAGGAAGCTCACAGTTAGGGAGCAGCAGAATCCTGGGCATGAAAACAAAGGGACGGACCCAGGGTTTGTGGGCACAAAGGATTTCGTCCAGGAAGCAGTACCACATGGTAACAATATAACAAAATCAGCTAACATTCAATGTGCTCCCTAGGCGCCAGGCAATTAATACATAGAATCTCGCTTCATCCAGACACCCAATAAAATAGATATTATCACTGAAGAGAAACTGAGGCTCAGACGGGTTAAGTGAATTACCCAAGCAATACAGCTAGTAACTGGCAGAAGCAGGATTCAGGCCCAGCCACCTGAGTACAAAGCCCAGTTTCTTTGACCGCCACCAGGCAGGGCTTAGTAAAGGGCCTTCGCTTGGGCAAGGTTCCTGGGGCCGGAACCTGCGCCTAAATCTCACAGGGCTGGAGCTCTCTGGGGCACCCACAGGTGATCAGGTTTGGAGGGAGTAATGCACACTGTCCTAATTCAACAATAGTCTGAGGATAATCTCCAGTTTAGTCTCTAGAACTGGGGCTTGGAAATTACCAAGCACAAGAGTGCTCATATTAGCAGAAGAAGAGGTGATTTCATTCTAGGGATTTTTCTTTTCCACGGTGACCACCTAATGGACAGCCTGTCTCTCAGGACATCTCTGCCATTCTTTAAGGGCCAATCCAGGTCCCAGCAGCTCCGTGGAATCCTCCAGAGTCCTCTCAGAACAGGTGCAGAGAACTAATTGGAAGGCAGGACAGGATACTGAGAGCCAGGCTGTGGAGTCCGCAGGCCTGGATTTACACCCTGGCTCGAACATGTACTTTTTGTGGAGCCCAGACTGTTCACCTCTCTGAGCCTCAGTGCCCTCACCTGTGAAAAGGGGATAATACTGTCACCTAAAAAGATCACTGTTTATTCAGTGTTAACAAACAGTTACTGAGCCCCATTTGTGAGCCAGATACCTGGTCGGGAATTAAAATGCAGCCCCTGCTCGTAAGCAGGTCAGAGTCTAATCCAGGAGACAGACCAGTTAACTGCACACCTGCACTGTCCAATGCAGGAGTCATCGGCCACATATACCCACGAAGCACCTGACAGGTGGCTAATCCAAGATGAGAAGTGCTGTCAAGTGTAAAATACAAAGACTCAGTAAGAGAAAAAAAAAAAACGTAAATTTTCTCATTGGTAACTTTGTGCTGTTTACAAGTTAGAATGATAATATATGGAAACACTGAGTTAAATAGAATATATCATTAAAGTTAATTTCACCTGTTTTAGTTTACTTTTTTAATGTGGCTGCTAGAAAATTTTCAGTTACATATGTTGCTCAATTATATTCCTATTGTGCAGTTCTAGTCAGTAAAATCCATTGAGGTGAACAACGGCCGCGATAAGCCCAGTGATGGATGGGGTGGCTAGAAGAGAATACAGGGGACCCAGGTGGAGATGGGGGACTATCAGTGAAGGCTTCCTCGCAGTGACTTCTAAATTGAGACCCAAAAAACAGTAGGCGTTAATCTGGCAAAGGGGTGAAAGGCGGCCAATCCGCGCAGCAGGAAGAGCACATGCACAGGCCGAGAAGCCGGAAAGGATGAGGCCTCCATGACAGGGAGTCTGGCAGCCAGGTGAGCCTGCAGAGGAGACAGGGTAGGGAGGGGGAGAACCAAAGAGGCTGTGAAGTTGATGGGGCCAGACTAGGAAGGACCCTGGAAGCCACGTTAAAGAGCTCCATCCTGAGTGAGGAAAGGAGCCAGGGAGGGTCTGAGCAGGTGAGTAAAAGATTAGCTGCCAAGAATGTACACAGCCCCTGGATCCTGCCAAGTCAGGGAGAGGAGGGAAGGGAGCATATCTGATGATCTGCTGAGCTGCTACTCTGGGTCAGACACTGGGCTAAACCCTTTTAGACTCACCCACTTGACAGATGAAAACTGAGGCTCGCAGAGATTAAGTGACTTGTCCAAGGTCACAGGATTGTTAAGTGGCAGAACTGGAATTGAAACCCACCAGCTAGGTCTGGCCAACTAGCACTGAGATGAGAAAAGCTGTCTGAGAGAATAATAATAGACTTTATCTTAATGGCAATGAGAAGCATTAAACATATAAAGCAGCAGACTATAATGATCAGATGTACATCTTAGAAAGAGCTTTCAAGCTGTGGTATAAAGGACTGGCAGGGGCGTGAAAAACAATATGACGATCCAGGTGAGAGGTCATACCCCGAGACGTCTGGGTCGTTTAGTGAGATGAAGAGAAAGGGACGTGCACTGCCTGCCACAGGATCCAATTAGGCAGGGGCCTTCTCTACCTTTTACACAGTAGGTTCTCAATAAGCAAAGTAACCATTTGTCCAGGTTTGCTCACGATTGGACCTGTTTATGCCTGCTGTCCAGGCATAAATATTAACTGTGCCCATTTCGCTCTTAAAAGCGTCCGGAGGGCCGGCTGAGTGGCTCAGTTGGTTAAGAGCTCGCTCAAGAGTTTGAGCTCTGAGCAACAGTGGTTCGAGTCAGCCCGAGCTGAGCAGCCGTGAGCTGCCAACAGGTGGCAGGATGGCTCAGCTAAAAAAAAAAAAAAAGCGTCCGGATTTACACAACAGATAACATGGTCACCCTTTCAATTAGGGTCTGTTGACTAAAAGAAGCAGCCTGTCCCTAGCAGACCTGGATAAACACTGCAGGTTCTCAGTCAGGCTCTCCTCTGCCTCCTTCTGCTCCCTGTCCAACCAGGAGCCCCGGACAACAAAAGGGCCCTGGCCGTGGGGCAGTGCCAGGCTCTGTCAGCCTTCCCACCAGGAGGGGAGGCCCCAGCCCCACCAGCAATGTGGACGCCAACGGCCTCTTGGGACAGGACCCTCGGGAGGCCACTCTGGACCATTAGTCCCCAATCTGTATTACTGCTGATGATGGTGGCGGCAACACAATCGATTTTTAGGCACTGAATATGTGCCAGGCACTACACTTGCCAAGCAAATGGCTGGACAGGGGCAGCCATCTTCTCCTTTAATCCTCACCCCAACTTTGTTGGGTGGAGAGTACTAGTAGCCCCATTTTACAGATGGGAAGGCAGGTTAACCTACTCTACCAGTTCTGTTCCACTCCAGCCAAGGTTCTTAACCACTGCCTCCGTCTTGGTGGCCACTATGTCACCCCCTCAGCAAAGTCTGGACAGACCAACTACACTCCCCGTAATGAAAGCAAACCCCCAAACCAGAACGCACCATCAAGTACCGTCAAGGTCCTGCCCCCAAACAGCCTCCACTAAGGGTCCCCCTGCTCCTGCTCTTTCGGAGACTCCCTTACCTGTCCCCCACATCCTCTTCCACGTCTGTCCTAATATGCAAGAGGCGGGGGTGGTGCGGGCCGGGACCCCCGGTCCCCTGCTCAGTATCAGCTGGTGGGTCCCTAAAGAGCCACCCCCGCCCCCAAGAAACGCATCTCACACACCGCCCCTGGCTGGAAACCTTCAAACACCCTCAAGAGCAAACCTCAAGTGTCCGCTGGAGCGAACCCCCATCAGCGGGAACCCCGAGCCGGTTACCGCGAACCCCGTAAATCCGGGCCGCACCTGCAGCCGCTGAGCGTCCCGGGGAGGGTGACGTCCTCCTCCAACACCGAGTCCATCACGGGCTCGGAGGAGGTGGCCGCACTGGTGTCTGTGGCCGCGGCACGACGGGCTCCCCACGCGGTCGCGACCCGCCGGGCTCCCCAGGTCCCCGCCCCCTCCAATCCAGCTCTTGTTCGGACTCCGGCGGCGCCGCTGGAATTCAAACCGCAGCCGCCGCCATCTTTCCCGGCGCTTCTTCCTACGGAACGAGGCGGGGTCACCGAGGAGCGCGCCGTGAAGCCGACCAGCTGGGGCCCGAAGCCGGGCAGGGCAGCGCGGGCAGGCGCCATCTTAACGAAGGGCAGAGCATCCGCACTTGGGCCGGCAAGTCTAACGAGAGAGGGGCCAGCTGCCATTTTTTGTGAGGGCATTCAGGCCGAGGTCAGGGCAGCCGCCATCTTTGTTGAGGGTGAAAGCCGGCCTTGGTCCGTTAATTTAAGCGGGAGTTAGGAACACAACCCCTCATGGATGCTCGGAGTTCCTAAAACCTGGTGTGTGTTTTCCTAGGATGATGACCCTGAACCTTAGAGTCTGTGCTTCCAAAAGGCTTCCGCCTTGAATTGAAAATCAGATAATCTGGTGATGCCTCGCTTTAGAAAAGCCCTACCCGTAGAATCCCAACTAAAGTAGTAATTTGTACGCTTAGTTTGAAACAAATAACGTCCTACCTGTGAGCCAAGTGCTCAGCGGCACTTACTCTCCAACCTCTCGCCTAATGATTCGCTATTACCTTTAGGGATCAAACGCACCTGAGGTCAGTAAACTGAGGCACACAGAGAGGAAATGACTCACCCAAAGTCATGCACAGTGTTTGTCACCTGGACCAGATCTGTGGCTCCTGCCAGCTGCATCAGAGATCTCTGCTACCTTTCCTAAAGCAGAGCCATCACCAAACACCTGGATAAGTGGGGCAGAACTTGGCCAGTGAACTCAACCTTTGTCTCCCCATCTCAAGGTTGCTACCAGGAAAGTCCAGAATGAAAATAACTTGAAAAGATGGGTAAGTATGATGGTGACTATCTCTGTAATCATGTATAAGACCGCTCTCACCCTCAGTTTCCTCATACTTCAATGTAAGTGTTACTTTCCAAAAGAGGCCTTCTCTAATGTAAATCAAGCCCTTTCCAATAATCTTAGCAACGGTGTTTTTCCTTTGTGGCACTTAAACACATTTTGCAAGTATAACGACTTCTGTGTTTGGGTTTTTTTTAACGTCTTCCTCTTGCACTACTAGACTGGAAGCTTCGTAAGGGCAGAGACTGTGTTCTGAATTGTTTACTGCTATATCCCCACACCTGTCACTGTACCTGCCCCCCAGCAGGTGTTTAAATATATATATGTTGAAGGAATGATTCAATCAATCCGGAAAATGGGGCTAAAACCTAACCTGCAAGATTTCCATGATGATGGAAGAGTGACCCCACCAGCCACCACCTTAGCGAAACCTACAAAGCTCATGGTGTACAAGTGCCCTTTTCCTCCCCCACCTCTTGAACCATCCCTAGAATCAGCAATAAAATAACAGCCTGAGAAAGTGTGTGGGAACCGGTTAGCATACCACATGCCCTGCCCTAGGGAAGGGACAGTCCTTGAAGCCCTGAAACCAACAGTTGTGCCCAGTGCTACATACGCCCAATAACAAGGAAGCTGGGGTGTCAGGATTCCCACCCTGGTTTGGCCACCAACTCGCTGTGATCTTTGGCAGACCATTCCTCTTCTCTGGGCCTCAGTTTCTACATCTGTAAAATAACAGGATTGGGCTGGATGAATATCTCAGGAGCCCCACCCCAGCCCTGGATGTGATTTCTACGAATGCACAACCAACTCTGTTCTGGTGAGGGAGGCTGAGTTACAATTCATCACTTCCCAGATGAAGGAACTAGCTTTCCATCCAGCAGATGAAAGTTCTTGAGAAAGAAAATGAGGAACAGGACTTGACACACTCTGAGCACCTCTTATGTGCCACTTGTGCCAGGCACATCACTTGCACCACCTCATTATACCATCATCACACTGCTCTGGAGTAGGTGCTATTGTCCCCATTTCACTTACAGGGGAGAAGACTGAGGCTGAAAGAGGTACAAAGAACTTTCTCGAGGTCTCAGTGCTGGTAAGTGGCACAGCTGGGATTTGAGCTCAGGTCCCTCTGAACATCAATGCCCTAATTGTTTCAGACAGCCCGTCTTCCCTATTTGTTTCCTTGTCTCCACTTTAGAATTTACAAGTAAGACGTGAGGTGTAGATCCAGACAACAGTATTTCAGAGATGTGTTCACCAGACTCTACTCCTTGGGCCACTGCGTCAAGGCAGCCACAAGGTGAATCTTAGTGTGGGCAGTAAGATTGCAGGACTGGAAGTTTAGGCACCTGGATCCGGAAACTCCTCCAACTTTTCTGAGACCAGGGGTCCTTTCCACTTACTCCTCCTTGGTTTTCCTACGTGTAAAATGGGGAAGACAGTGCTGAGCTCACGCAGTTGCATTATCTAATGAATACTTTGGAAACTCTAAAGAAATAGAGTGAGTTCTCTTTATGATTAATCCATTGCCCTATTCGGCAAATGACCATTTTCCTGGATTGTGTGCTAAATCCTTTCATGAACCTGGAAACTGAAAATAGAATCAATCGTACAAAGGATAGGCTATTTGGGAAGTTGTTTTTCCTGTTTTCATGGTCAGGGACGAAGCCCTTTGCCCCATGTCTGTCTCACCATGGCCTTTCTTTCTGCCAAGCCTGAGGTGACGTCACTACCACCAGCTGTCTGGGCTATCTGGCGCCATCTCCTTGACAACAGCCACTCAGCCACAAAGCTGGCATTATTATTTCCTTGGACAAGGTCATATCGAATGGCTGGGAGGAAGTAGCTTGCAGACAGATGTTTCTCATTAGGGTAGAACCCTCCTGAAGTTTTAGCAGCTCAAGCATCTCATCAAGACACATGAGCTGCCATTACTAACAGCAAGAATACCTTTTTATAGGATCAATACACACACATTGCTACTGTGCACTATTTCATTTTATCCTCATGATGCTCTGAGGTAGATTGGAATTATTGCCCTGTTCTACGGATGAAGAAACTAAGGCTCAGAGAGGGGACAGGTTTACCAAAGACCACTCTTTCCCTCTCTCTCTCTCTCTCTCTCTCTCTCTCTCTCTCTCTCTCTCTCTCTCTCTCTTTTAGCTTTTCATTTAGAAATAATTTCAGACTTAGAAAAAAAGTTGCAAAAATAGTGCAAAGAATCCTCTGTAGAGCCTTCACCCAGCTTCCTAAAATATTAACATCTTACATAACCATAGCACAATTGTCAAAAATAAGAAGTTACATTGCTGCAATGTGATTTACCACAGACCTTATTTAAATGTAATCAGTGTTTCTGTCAGTGTCCTCCTGACTCAGGATCCCACATTGCATTTAGTTGTCATGTCTCCTTACTCTCCTCCAATCTGTGATAGTTCCTCTACTTTCATGACATTGACAACTTTATAGAAGTTCTTGCCAGTTATTTGTTAGAATGTGTCTTAATTTGGGCTAATGTGGTGTTTCCTTGTGTTTAGATTGAAATTATGCACTTTGGGCAAGAGTAACACACGAGTGATTCTGTGCCTTTCTCAGGGTGTCAGGAAGCAGATGATGTTAATATGTCTCACTCATTGGTGAAGGGAACTCTGATCTCTTGGCTAAGATTAATAAGAATCTTGGGGGTGATATTTGAGACTATGTAAATATGCTGTTTTTCATCAAACTTTCATCCACTAATTTTATCATCTATTGATAATCCGTACCCAAAACAACGACTACAGTGGTACTTGCCAGTTGGCGATCTCTACTTTCGTCATACCTTCTATAATTAGAGTTAGAAATCTAACGTAAGGAGGCGCTTTCTCTTCTTCCCCATTGATTCGGTTGTTTATTTAAATCAGTATGGACTTGTAGATACTTCCTTCATCTTATGGGTCATAATCCATTACTGTCATTATTTCTTTTGTTACACATTTGTCCTAGATTTGCCCAAGTCATCCTTTGAATATATAGCTGTGCCAAAATTCAAACCCAGGTCTGTTTTATCCCAAGGTCAGCAGCTTTTCTAGCACAGCACGCTTCCCCTGGCCCTTAAGAACTCCCCCAGCCAGCCTCCCCATCAGCAGTCCTTGACCAGTTCCCAGTTGGTACCTGCTGTCTTCTCTATAGCATCCTGGGTTACTAAGCCAGTGATGCCTGATAGGCCCCACATCTAGCCCCAGGCTGTGCACATAATAGGTACTCAATTGTCAGACTCACTCAGTCCTGACTTTTCTCAAGATGGGAAGAGGAATGAGAAATGCTCCCTTTAAGGGAACAGCAAGTCGACTATTGGGCTAGAGAGGGTAACACACATGAACATGATATCACCTTAGACCCGCCAGCTCAACTTTCTGGGCTTGCTTTCTTATCCGTAAGCTCAGTGCATTAGACCACAATATTGAGGCCCCCTTTCCTCACAGTCCATGAATTACTGATGTTAGCTGCCATGTCCTGAGCTCCTTCTGTGGGCCAGGCACTGTGTTAAAACTTTACATTCAATCCTTGCAAATAACTATATGAAACGGACTGGTTATGCTCCAGTTTTACAGCTGACAAACTGAAGCGCAGAGAGGAGAGGGATTTTCTTGACCACACAGCTGCCAAGTGGTGAAGCTGGGAATTGAGCCCAGATTTCATTCTTAGTCACTATGCCATGGTGACTTTCACAGAGTTACTGGTATCCTGCCTTCAGAAGCTGGTTAACATGCACATAAGTAATTATAAATCAAAGTAAAACATCTTAAAACACTTTGTTGTTATAAGAAAAATAACAGTAAGTTTCTAAGGGCACAAAGAGAAGAGATCGAGTCATTCTGATTGAGGGGTTGGAGAAAGGTGTTTACAAGTAAGATCTATGCCCTACCAGAGCAGGACAGAAAACTGTACACACTGTATAAGCACTAGTTCCACACTTTTTAAGGCCAGAAGAAATAAAATAAAATAGCTGTTTGATGAAACTCCATCTACAGAGCCCATATCGCATTCTTAATCCCTCCAAGCTCTCACAATTCAGAGACAAGTCGTTATCCTTTAGGGATAAGGAAATAGAGGCTCAAGAGACATGAGCCAATTGCCCCAAAGTCGTACAGCAATCCAGTGTCGGAGAAAGGAATTTGGACCTTAATT